TTTTTTTGGTCCTATTGTCTTCCACGTGTATTATATTTGACATGTCATCATTTTTCCCGTCAAGTAACAAGACACGTAAGCGGATATTTAACAGAAGGACCAAATCGGGGTTAAAATGATAAACAGTAGGGACCAAATCAGGGATTTTTTTAGTTTAGGGACCAAATCGGGGGTCCGTACAATAGTTCAGGAACCAAAATGGGGTTTTAACCTTAATTTTATTCATAAACTTTTATTTAAATTTTGAAATGTATATACTGTAGTAATGTATATTTTTGCTCATTGATGGTATTTTCTACAAGCATCCTACAATGAAGAGTCCATAAATGGTGGAACTAAAGATGACCCAAAGACACATCCTCAGAGGAGGTTTCCCTTATCATGGCTGAAGTAATTACTTGTTCTGTTGACTGTGATATTCGTGTACCTAATTTGCTGCCAAAGCCAAAGAATTATTGTTGAAACGTGAAAAAAGTCTTCACCTGCTGTCATTAATATAGTATTATCTTGATGAATTATTTCTTGTCGTCCCTTCTGGTGATGTGGAGTTTGTTTCAATGAAGGTCTCAAGAAACTCATCTCATTTTTGGGACCAGAAACCCAACAAGAGAGGCTCAAGACAATCCGGAAAATTCTTATGGTAGATTTCCATATTAGTTATAGAATGTTTACGAGTTTGGATCATGTATTGATGCAGCAATCAATGGCATAAAGGCCTCCTCCCTTGATGTAACTTCAGGTGGTTCCTTATGTAACTTGCTTTAATTAGTTCACAAATGTTTTGTATAGGAGTTCTTCTAATGGTCTAAGGTTCTGAGTAGCTATTAGCTATACATGCTTTCTAGAATACAGTTTAAACATGTAAAAGATTTCTTTTCCTTGTTTCATTTTGGATTTCTTCCAACTCATTTGTGGTTCATTTCTGGTAATGCTGCTCGCTCTTTGTCAACTAATGAATAATGGAAACTTGCTGAAGTTATTATGTTATTTGAATCCAGCTTGCTTTTATTGTTGGGCAGTCAAATGTTGACAGTCACTATTGCAGATGATGCAGTAATCTCAGCTTTCAGCCTTTTAGGTCAGTTTGCAATATGATGTGCAGCTCATTTCATAATGGATTGTGACAAATATTGATTCTTTTGTGGATCTTCCATTATCGTTTAGACATTTTCTTTTATGGTAGTGTCTCATTGACTATTTTTTTATTGGCAATTGGCAAAGATCTCATTTAACTTTTTCTTTCTCATTTTGCTTTGTGCCCCCACCAACACTTCTATTACTTTGGGCCTGCAGTAATTATAGAGACTCCTTTATTGTTAAGAGATTTATGGGTTAAAGTGTAATGGAAATTGGGAAAGTAGTTAATGCGGGCCTTATGTGTTTCTGTTATATTCACACATCCAAGGTAATACTGTGTGATATTGTGTGTTGCTGTCTATTCATCCTGCATGTTATATTGCTTTTTGTAATTTATTTGCCATTTGGCCTATATGAGATTAGCACTCTTCTTTTAATCGCCTTAATTCTTATCTGTTCTTTTTGAAAGCCTCTTGAGTGTTTTATTGATTTCATCTCCTTTGGCTTTTTTGAAGGATCACTGCAGAAATGGGGAAAACTCACCTTATCACTCAGTGCCATATAGATTGGTTGCCATAAACAGTTTACCTGGTTGTATATTGCTTTTAGACACGTAGGCACTTGTGGTGCTACTCCAGAAGGTTTGTTTAGTCTGAGTCATTTTGAATATCTTCAAAAGATGGAACTTTCTTAACTGAATAATGGATTTCACTTATTCTTTCAGAGGTATCAAGACGCCAGCCACTTGTTCTTGGGATGCTTGTCAATTGTCCAGTTGAAGTTCCTCTTGCTTTGAACCAACAAAAGAGTGACTATTGCCTCTGTCTAGCTATTCATGCACTTCAGACAGGAATTCTTGAGGTATGCTTAAAACGTTAAGATATGTTGGAGAAAGAAGTCTAAGATTGACATCAGTTCTCTTAAATATAATATGAAAATCTGTCACCCATTGGATTTATTGACTGAGTTTTAGTGTGGAAATGGGGGGCTCTACTGATATACCTACTGAGTCCTTTTATAGATTACTATTACTAGTTCTTGTATAAACCTGCTGTCTCTCCATAATGCTGCATCTTCTTAGGCCAACACGCACAATCTATTTCCCCTATGAGGGAATGCTCTGAAGATTTTGTTTCGATATTGTAAATAAACATGATTGATTTTTTCTATGTGGGTGCAGCTTTTGGTCTTGTGGGAGAAATAAGGTGCTAATTCTATGCCTTTGATTTTAGTAAGGGTTGAGGAAACCATGTCCATGATTTGCTACCCTGCATATGTTTGATGTATTATCCTTTATACGGAAGTCAACCAATTTTCTATTCTACACTGCAGAATACCTAAACCATTTTTTGAACACATCAAATGCAGGTTTGGAGGATGAGAACCAGACCGACTAGCATATGAGATTAACATTATTCTCTCTCCAATAAGAGAAGTTAAGAAAGTTGTTTTAATCAAATAATATTTTGTTTCCATCCCCTCTCTGATGATGTAGAGTATGCTTCAATGGTGGTTTATTGAATCTTGTATTGAAGCAGCAGTCACTGGCATAATGCTTCTCCATTGGGGAATTCTGGGTGACTCGTTAAGCTAAATCTTTAATTTGTTTTCTGATTGGAGATAGAAGTTCACATAGTCAAATCTATTTCTCTTAAACATAATGCCTTGCATTTTCCTTTTTGTTCTGATCCGAACGCTCAAATTTTTTTCTGAAGAAAACCAATCCCCCACTGGAATTATTAACTCGATTGCCCACTAACATGTCTGTCCTTTTTTAGATTACAATAGCTAGTTTCTTGTATTAATGGCCTGTTGTGTCCTTCCATGATGGAGTATCTCTTTTGGCCAACACAAATGATTTATTTTCCCTCTCAGGAGATGCTTTGAACATTTTGTTTCTATATTGTAGATGAGGTGGTGGCCGCATTACAAATATCGAAACATCCGGTCACGGTCACAATTTCAAGATAAGTTTAACGTAAATTACACTTAAATTTTATCTATCATAAATTAGATTAAACATCTTAATATTTTTAATATTAAGATGTTTTGAGTGAAGTAGTGATTATATGTTTTAACATTTTTAATAATAAGGTATTTTGATTTTTATTTTTTTATTATAAATAAAATAAATGTGAATTTTTTTTTAATAATGTATGGTTACAACGTTTGCGCTGGTGAAGTATATGGATGCTATTTCTACGCCCATTGTGTCTATTTAGGAGTTTTAGTAATTTTCGTACCCTGTAACTGTAGTATGTTTGGGGTCTTATGCTTTATATGGAGTTAAGACCAGTCTTGCAATCTACATGGCCGGGCGGCCAACTACCCATCCCTATTTCTTTTGAACATAACGAATGTAGATTTTTTGACAAACAAGAACTGGACCGTGTCTTCTTACCATTCACCGTGCTAAGGGCAACATATTACTGCGACCTACATACTGGTGATTTCAATTCGCAAGTGGGTAAATTCCACATTCCTCTAGGGATCATATTTCATACTTTTTCAAATCATTTTTGCATTAATCGGAAACTTGGGACTGAGTGAAATTTTAGTGACAGAGAAATGCAGCAGTGACAAAGAAGCAGAATTGCAGTAAGCACCTCTATCAAAATTTGATGAAAAAGGATTCCCAGGCACCTCTCTTAGGGTTAGGGTTTGGTGACAACAAATATCTCTCTAGGGTTTTCTCTTCGGTTGAGGAGCCTCCCTTTCTTCTTCTCAGTCTCATCCCCCTTCACATCATCGTTGGCTATCTTGCTTGGGTACCCCCAACCCTAGGGTTCACTAGCAGCAGCATAGCTACTATCCCTTGCAACTATTTATACTACAACTGTCTTGATTTTGTTTAATTTTACAATTTGTTTCCAACAGCTACCTTCTTTGGGAGTACTTTACATATTTTGTATTTCTATTGGTCATTTGGATCTATTTGGATGTATATGAGTTCATAGTAGTTCATGCATGAATTCTTTTGTATTTGGACCTCATAAGCCTTTATATAGTATAAGCAAACATTTAATAATATTATTATTACATAAAAATATCCTTAAAAGTTCTTAATAATCATATTCACAAAGCTGAAGTATTCTTTATAATAGTATAGTTATAAGTAACGGGATTTTAACTTCAAATAATATCAAAAATAAGCAACAGAATTGTAACTTTCATACTTATAATCCTGCAGAAGAACAAGTATTAGACCTTTGAAGTAATTAGAAGTACCATCCTAGTGGCAAAATATAAATAAGGTTAAGGATGATAAAAAAAAGAGATAAGATTAAAAAATATATACATTTTC